TTGAGGGGCTGTCCTGGTCTCGGGGGTGCTGACCAGTTCTGGAGGGGGTGTTCTGACCGTGGGAGAGTCTGCCCATCCTTTTTGCCCATCCACTGGGGGCCCAGGCTGGGGGATCTCAGAATGCTATATTGCTTGGAGGTGGGGTTATGAGGTGGGGTTCTAGTGTCCCTGGGCCCTGCCTGTGACCTGGGTGCTGGTTGGGGGCACAGGCTGGGTCCCCTGTGGGCCTGGACTGACTGGCTCAAACAGGTCCCCAATCCTCTGGGTACAGCCTGTCCTATGCCCCCCCGCGGGATAGTTGTGTCATCACTCAGTGGGAAATTGCCTGCATTTGTTTGCATTTTTGTGAGGTTCACGGTGCAATACAAAATCACAGGAATCGCAGAGAGCAGTCTCCTTTGGGCAGTGGCGCCAGCCGGGCCGAGACTCCTGACGGCGCTCTGTGCATGGCCTGGTTCGGGGGTGTTTGGGGCCTGGAGCAGGCCCTGCAGGGGCCGAGGCCACTGAGCTGGGCACCTGGGCCCTGTGCAAATTGCATTCCTGGCTCAGCCTCGGCCAGATGCCCAGGGGCTGTCTGGAGCCAACGAAAAGTTTCAAAATCAGATTAGAGAAACCAGAGGTTGGGTTTTCAAATAGAAACCAACGTCTTTGTTAAGAACTGCCTGACCTCAAGGTCCTTTCGTCAAGAAAACGTGCTTCTCGGGGCCCCGCTGACCTCACTCATTAGAGTGCACGTGAGGCTGCCTGGCAGGAACTAGATATCCAGCTGGTCACCTGTCCCCACCTGGCTCGGGCCTGACCTCAGGGCTCCCAGAGAGGAAACACGGCCCTGGGAGAGGCCTGGGGTGGGGGCCGCAGAGAGGAGGCAGGCCGGCAGCAGAGGTAGGGTCCTGGGTCCCCCGACCTCAGCCTGGAGCTGACCTGCAGGGCTGGGGCTCCTTTTCCTGGGAGGGTGGGGGGAGCAGGGCTGCCTGGATAGCATGGTGGGGCACAGCTGGTCCCCGACGCGGCATGAGGGTGGGGCTCTTCTGGACCCGTCGCCGTCAGCACTGTGCGTCTCGGGCTAGCGCTGTTGCCAGACAAGCCCTCCTGGGCCCTGGCCCCACAGGCCCCTCCGATGCCCACAACACCCTGGGCAGGTCTGGCTCCCATGGCATGGTCTGTGGCCCTGCCCACTGACCCAGCCAGGGTGTGCTGAGCCCCAGGGAGGACGGGGTGACTCTCCAGGGCGGCAGTGTCTGCAGCAAAGGGAGTCTGGGTGCCCACCGCTGCCCCCCTGCAGCTGCCAGCCCTGCCCTGCCCTCATGGGGCTGACCTGGAAGAAGCGGGTCCTAACGGCCCTGCTAGGGGCCGCAGCGGCCTCAGGCCTCACCACGCTCATTCTCCTCCTGGTGGAGGCCACCAGTGTCCTCCTGCCCGCAGACACCAAGGTAGGCCCCCGGACCCTAGCCGGGGGGCGGGGGGGGGGGGGGCCGGGCTGATGATGTGCTGGCCCCTGTCCTCCTGACCCTGCTGTCACTCTCAGTTTGGGATCGTGTTTGACGCCGGGTCCTCCCACACGTCCCTCTTTGTGTACCGGTGGCCAGCAGACAAGGAAAATAACACAGGTGTGGTCAGCCAGGCCCTGGCCTGCCAGGTGAAAGGTCAGTGTGCCAACGTGGGCGGCGCGACCGCTGCAGACGGCTGTCGGGGTGGGATCCCTGGCTGGGTGGAGGTTTGGGGGGTGGTGCAGCGGGGGCGAGGTGGGATTTCCTTTAGCAAATCAGCAAATGGTCCTAAAGGAAAAGTGGCTCAGAGAGGTTGAGTGAATGACGCAAGGTGGCACAGCCGACCAGTGTGGCATTGGCCCAGGGCCCAGGTTCATCTGCAGAGAACTGGTACAGCGCCTGCCCGGTCCCGCCTGCCTCTTCCATCTTCTGGAGGCTCCCGGCCTTCCCGGGCTTGTGGTCCCATCAGTCCAACCTCTTCCTCCAACGTCACGTAGCCTTCCTCCTCGTGTGTCTCAACCCCTCCTCTCTTCTCCCTTAAAGGAAATGGGCCATCAAACGTAGGGCCCGCCCCGGGAATCCAGGATGATCTCATCTTAAGATCCTTACCTTAATTACATCTGCAGAGAACCTTTTTCCAAATAAGATCCCACGCAAAGGTCCCAGTGGTGAGGACGTGGACATATTTCCTGGGGCAACACTATCCAAGCCCCGCCAGCCTTTGGGCCTGGAGCTTTGTCCTGGGTGCTCTGTTTCAGGGCCTGGAGCTTTGTCCTGGGTGCTCTGTTTCAGGGCCTGGAGCTTTGTCCTGGGTGCTCTGTTTCAGGGCCTGGAATCTCCTCCTATGCCTCCAATCCTGCACAGGCTGGTGAGAGCCTGCAGGGCTGCCTGGAGGAGGCGCTGGCCCTGGTCCCGGAGGCACAACATCAGGAAACGCCCATGTTCCTGGGGGCCACGGCTGGCATGAGGCTGCTCAGGTGAGGTGGGCTGGCTTGGGGCTTGGGGCACATCTGCGAGGAGCAGCCGTGAGAACCGCGGCATGGACGCCTTGGGCAGGTGGGCAGGGTAGGGTGGCTGTGGGTTTCCCACCAGCTTTGGCTGCTGGTCCTTTCTGCCCAGCCAGAAGAACAGCTCTCAGGCAGGAGACATCTTTGCGGCAGTCAGCCGGGTCCTGGGCCAGGCCCCCCTGGACTTTTGGGGTGCTGAGCTCCTGGCTGGGCAGGCTGAAGGTGCCTTAGGTTGGATTACTATCAACTACGTCCTGGGCATGCTGATCAAGGTGCCACAGGCAGCCCCTGGGTGGGGGTTGGATGACCGGGGGCTGTGGGTCCATGTGGCTGGTCCAGGACTCAGTGCCGCCTGTCTGTCCTCAGTACTCCTTCTCTGGAGAATGGATCCGGCCTCCGGAGGGGACCCTGGTGGGTGCCCTGGACATGGGTGGAGCCTCCACCCAGATCACCTTTGTGCCTGGAGGCCCCATCCTGGACAAGAGCACTCAGGCCACCTTCCGCCTCTATGGCTCTGAGCACAGGGTCTATACCCACAGCTACCTCTGTTTCGGGCGCGACCAGATGCTGACCAGACTCCTGGCTCGGCTGGTGGAGGTTGGCTTGCCCCCAGAGGAGGCCCGGGTGGAATGGGATGGCCTGGGGCCCTCTGCTGGGCTCAAGGCCACCTCCCTGTCCTCTTGCAGAGCAGCCCCGGGCCGCTGGTCCGCCACCCATGCTACCACAGTGGCTACTGGGCCACGCTGTCCCCGGCCACCCTGTATGAGTCACCCTGTGTCCACACCACACCCCCTCCAGACCTGGCCTGGCACCTCACGGTGGAAGGAACAGGGAACCCTGGGGCCTGCGTCTCCGCCATCCGGGGCCTCTTCAACTTCTCCAGCTGCGAGGGCCGAGGACACTGTGCCTTCGATGGGGTCTACCAGCCCCCCGTGCGGGGCCGGTTCTATGTGAGCACTCTACACTGTCCTCCCCAGGGGCCCAGCCTCCTCCTGGAGCCCCAAGGGCCTAATGCCAGGTGGGCCCCGGATGAGCCCTGGACGGGTGGGGTCTTGGGGACTCTGGGTCCCCGTGTGTGGGGGGGACTTTGCCTGGTCCGTGCTGGGGCTACTCTGATCCGGGCCCACCTGGGCATCGCCCCAGTGCAGGCACGCCCATCTTACTTCCCCGCCCCAGGCCTTCTCCAACTTCTACTACACCTTCCACTTCCTGAACCTCACCTCCAAGCAGCCGCTGACCACCGTCAACGCCACTGTCTGGGAGTTCTGCCGGAGACCCTGGAAGCAGGTATGTGGATCCTGGGGCCACCTGTCCCCACCAGAGCCTCCCCAACTCTCTGGGCTGCAGCAAGCAGGCACTTAGGGGGCCTGCATCCTGGGCCGTGTGGCCAGCAGGGCCCCCTAAGTGGGGGGCTGCCGAGGGAAGGGAAGACAGCCCCTTGGCCGTCCCCCTCCAGGCAGGAGGCCCAGGGCCGCATCCGTGGGTGGGAGCAGCCTCCGGTGGGCTGGGAGAGGGGGCGTCACCTGGCTCCTCACCTCCCGGCCCCCAGGTGGAGGCGAGCTCGCCAGGGCAGGACCGCTGGCTGCGGGACCACTGTGCTTCAGGCCTGTATATACTCACACTGCTGCTCGAGGGCTACGGGTTCAGGGAGGAGACCTGGCCCGACATCGAGTTCCACAAGCAGGTGACCACTTCCCAGGGCCTGGCCATCTGGCCCGGGGCAAGGGGGGGTCAGGGGCTCCGCAGCAGCTGCCCACAGCCCTGACCAGGCTGCGTGTCCCACAGGCCGGTGGCACCGATATTGGCTGGACGCTGGGCTACATGCTGAACCTGACCGGCGTGATCCCGGCCGAGGTGCCCGCCCGGTGGCGGGCGGAGAGCTACGGCATCTGGGCGGCTGGAGTCGTCTTTGCGGTGCTGACTCTCCTGGCTACTCTTGGGGCTGTGGCAGTCCACCTCCTGTGGCCCCAGGGCTAAGCTGGGCTGCCCCAGGCTGGACGGCTGCACCGGCCAGAGCCTTCCTGAGCTCCTGAGCCCTGTCGGGCTCCCTGTCCTGAGGGCTCTGGCCCCGTGGGCAGATGGCCCCACTCGGCCCTCGGGGTGGCTCTCCCCATCCCGGCCCCCCTGGGTCCCCTTTTCCACCAGGCTTCCCGGGGGGCGGGTGACTTGGGCCCTGCAGCACTCCAGGGCTGTGTGACCTAGGTGCATGGGACGTGGGGCCCGGTCCAGCCTGGAGGTGGGAGTGACCGCCCAGGCAAGAGGGGCTGTGGCCCCCTGGGAGACGCTGGCAGTGGGGCCCTGGGGGTCTCTAGGAGGAGGCTGGGCAGAGGCCCAGCTGGACCCCTGGTGTCGGGCTCTGGGCTTCTCCTGGAGTGGCAGCCCCACCCCCACCCTCGAGGCCTTCGCCAGGCCCTCCAAGTGGACAAGCCCAGAATACAGACCACACCTTTGCGGGGGGAAGACTTCTTTATTAACATCCTCCTTGCCACGGGACGTCTTAGGGCTGATTTCTTCACTGGGTTTGGGCTGGGCGGGGCTCCGGGTAGGGGTGTCGGGCTCCTCACACGTACTGTCCAGCTGGGACCACAAAGCACTTGGGGAAAATGCCGACGCGGCCATCACAGTGACCCTCCAGCCATGCCTGGTCCACTGCATGCAAGGCGAGTCAGGGTTCCTCAGAGCACACCAAGCAAGGTCCGCTCACAGAAGCCCCTCGTGCCCCAGCGGCCCACTGACCTTCACACAGGACGTCCACGACATCCCCCCGCTGCAAGGCCAGGTCCTCGGGCCCCCGGGCAGAGTAGCTGTGCTGGGCCACCACCTGGCAGAGGGCAGGTCGGCCACCTGCTCCCTACGGTGGGAAGGGGGGCTGCAGGGCTGGAGAAGGGCCCCAGGGTCCCCCGTGCCCCACACTGAGACCCACACCCACGCAATCCTGAGGCTCACCTGGCACTGGAGCTGCAGGACCCCCGGGCTGGCCACCACGTCCCGCCAGGCCCTCTGCAGTGCCTCCTCCCCGGAGAGGGGGACCCAGCGCCCCTTGTTGCTGGGGTCTCGGTAACTGCAAAGAGACTCCCCAGAGTGGCATCGAGGGGGCAGGGGGTGCTTCTGGTGGGGCGCTGCCCTCTAACCTCTGCAGTCCTGCCCCCCCTCCCACCTGCTCACCTGAGCTGCCCACGCTGGGCCTGGCGAGACAGGGCTTGGCTCAGCAGGCTCCGCAGGCTGGACAGGTCAGCTCCTCTAGGGACCTTCAGGGCCAGGGTGAAGGCACACTGCACTGTGATGGTCACCGAGGATGCAGGGTCCCCCACGGCCACTCCCTGGGTCAGGGCAGAAAGGCAGTGGTCAGTCATGAAGCCCCACATCTGCATGCCCAGGGCCCGGCTGGGGTGGCCTTCGAGCAAAGGGGGGGAGGGGCTGGGGCTCCAGGCTTGGAAGGCTCCATCAGCTGGGGTCCCAGGGCCTGGCCTGAGGGCCCCAACCCTGAAGAGTGGGGGTGACATCCAGGACAGTGCCTCTTACCCCAGCACCCGAGGGATCCTCCGAAGGGCTGGGGTCCGGCGCCCCTGCCACCAGCGGCCCTGTGGAGGGTGACAGAGCAGGGACTCAGATGGCCACCACCCCCGAACTGGGACATTTTGGGGTAGAGTAGCCGTTGGTAGCACATGCCCGCTGGGAGGCCCAAGGCAGCCGGCCGCCTCCCCGGGGGCAAAGAGGCCGCTCCCAGCACCCCCAGACGCCTGCCCAGGACTTCCACCACCACGAGCCTCTGCCCACCACCTGCAGCTCAGGACGTCCTTACCTGGAGGAACCTGTTTGCCAACTTGCTCCACACGGGGCCTCTGCAGGAAAAGCCACAGGCTGGGAGCAGGGGCCAGGGAGGGGGGCCCTAAGGATGGGCAGCTTTCCCTGCCTGGGGCTTGTCGCAGCAGACCCAGTGGTGAGGTTTATGGCCGGGGAGCCAGCTGATCAGCAGGAAGCCATAAATACAACCCATGTGGGGGTGTATTCGGGGCATGAACCAGGTCCCTAGGGGCCTGGAGACCACACACAGCCTGCCTTACATCGGTGGGGAAGAATGTGTCATGCCCCCCACCGCCACCACCAAGCACTATGAGACGGGAGCTCCAGCTGGGGGTCCCCGGTGACCCTGGAGGCTGAGGACCCAGGCCAGGGGCCAGCTGGACTTCACCCCATGTAGGAGGTGCTAGAGGGGCAGCGGAACCTCCCAGAGGGGCCCTGGGGTCCAGACCATCCTGAATCAGACTCTGGCTTCAAGGGGGGGGGGGTCTGGAAGTTTGACTATAAATGAAGTGTTTGGACTGTATCAGATTTTCCAGCTGGTTAAAGCCCTTCAGAAGCTGTTTGCTATTACGTCAGGAGGGTCAAGGACCTAAACCCCCAACGTACGAACCTAGTAAAGGCAGCCTTAACCTGCGGAGATTTAATGAAGCTCAGTCATGACAGAGAACAATTGCTTTTCAGGGCACAGGTCTGTTCACCTTGAGTTACTGGAACATCAGTGAAAGGGGAGGGACCGTCTGTTTTCTTATCGAGTCCTTGGATAAACTGCATGTTAAGTTCAACCACCTCTCTGCGCATGCGCGACCCCTCTCCGGTGCTGGCCCTGGGCAGTGGCCAGCCACACCCTCCCGGGGGTCCCTGCCTAGGAGAAGCCTGTGTCCAGGAAGGAAGGCTAGGTGGATGAATGGTACAGAAGCCCAGGCTGCAGGCCAGCGGCGGGGGGAGGACCACCGGACTCCAGTCTATGCACCCGTGAGCATCAGCAAGCTCCCCAACCCTGGCGTCCAGCTCTGTCTCTGCCCTGACAGAGGAAGCCGATGAGGCCACCTGCCCTGCCCTGAGACCCTCACAGTGCCTGGCTGTGGCTGCTGGTCCCCATGCTCAGCCTGGTGGGGGGTGTCCTCCCAGCACTGTGGCCCCTGTCCCCCACCCCACCGCCGACCTGGGCCCGGGCTCACTCACCTGCTCATCGTAGATGACCTGCACCACCTGTCCAGAGCCAACCTCTGTTTCTGCCTCAAGGGGCATCCTGGGACCACAGGGGGTGGCAGTTCTGCAGGGGCCTGAGTCTCCAGCCCTGGGGGGCGGGGGGGGAGCCCTCATACCCAGAACTTGCCCAACTTGTTCCCCCCCGACACAGCCTGAGAGGAACCCCAAGTGTGGAGAAGAGGGGCAGCACAGAGCACGGCCCTGGGCGGGGAACTGCTCTATGTCCCTACACCCCATGCAACATTGAGCAGCACCCCTCTCCCGAGTTGGGACGGCCCCGCCTGTGAGGTCCAGTCTGGCAATGCCAGAGGAGTAATTACGTCAGCCCACAACCCAGCCAGCTCCCTCCTTGGGCACCTCGGCTCCGAGCCTCGGTGCTACTTGGAGTCATGGCGACCTGAAGTCTCAACTCCCCTCTGGTGCCCACTGAGGCTTGGGTGCTGCTTCTATGAGAAGCCCTGGGGCACAGGGCTCTTCCTCACGAGCAGGATGGGCTCAGGACAGTGTAAGCCCTGGGCATCTGGACAAAGGGGGCATGGGCAGGGCTGAGAGAGGCTAGACACCTCTTCCCTGGCCTCAGGGGCTGCAATGCAGGCCTCACACCAGGGCCTCTGCCCCAAGAGGAGAAACCAGCATGCAGAGGGGAGACCCACTCCTTCCTACCGTGGGGCGGCTCCAGGTCTGCCTTCACCATTGGCATCCTGAACCTATGCGTACAGAATGACATCTGTCAGGAGGCAGATCCCTGTGGGTGAGTGTCAGGGCAGGGAGGCCCAGCATTGCCCCCGCGCTGCTACCCCAGGCAAGACTCCCACACAGAATAGGCCTGCCACTCCCAAGTTCAGATCAGAGCAAGGTTGGGGAGCCCCGAGGGAGGGTTCAGAGCATTTTCCTCCCTTCACAGTAAAAAGGTCTGAAATGCTCAAGCCTGCAAAATCACAGAAGTCTGGGCTGGCTGGAAGGCTACCCACCCACCTGGGGCTGCTGAGGCTGGGTGCCCTCGTGCTGGTCTTCGGGGATGGCAGAGGCTACCACCTGGTGAGGGACAGCAGGGGACAGCAGAGTCAGGGGCCCTGTGATGTCCGCTCCCAGCCCCTGCTGCCCACCCCACACTCCTGAGTGTCCCATCTGCCGGGTGGAGGCTAGAAGGTAGGAAAAATATGTCTGATAAAGGAAAACATCTGTGTTGACAGTTTTAAATTATTTTTAATACAACTTCTGAAATATTTTTATTTCTTAGAAGTCTCATACTGTGATAAACAAACTCTAAATTCAGATTAATGCAGCTCAGAGCTGCCTGGCCCCTGCCAGCAGATGTTTGCAAAGATGAGGTGTTTGGGGCATGTGACCTCACCAGCCCTGTACCTGGTCACACACAGCGTGCCGGCCCTCGGTGACCTCGGTGGGTGCTGGGGTTAACCCAAGGGCCACCAGCTTGAAACCCAAGTGAATTTTCCTTTGTGCACAGGGGAGTTACTTCTCTGCATTCCACCCCTGCTCCCAAATGTGCTGGGATTTTGGTGATGCTGCGTGGCCCAGGCCAGCCTACCCCGGCCCTCCTTGGGATCTCACTCTCTGGGGCAGAGATGCAGGGAGACAGAGACAGAAAAATACAGGGAGGTGCTGAGGCCAGAAGAGCATGGCTGAGGTAGAGGCAGTTGGGGACAGCACCGCCTTGGGGATCCCTGCCAAAAAGTCATGCCCTCCTCTGCAGCCAGCTTCCGGTGGGTTCTGCCTCCTGGTTCCAAGAGCCCAGGATCTGTGAACTCCACTTGAAGACACTGCCCCTGACCCAGGAAGCTCAGGCACTCTGCGGTTTGGGGGTGGCCTTGTGCCCACTCTCCACCCACCTACGGAAGCCTTTCTAACAACAGGTGCCCCTGTGAGCTCAGCACCTGCGGGCTGCTGCTGGCCCCCCGAGCCCCGTGGCCGCAGGAAGTGAGCCGCTGCCCCCTTACCTTGGCCTTGCCTAGGAAATCCACTGGTTCCAGATGCTCCAGGTGCCGCCTGTGGGGCCGGAAGACCTCACCCCTGGGGACCTGCCGAGGCTGCAGGGGGGCCTGTTTCTGGAGGGGGTCCGGCCAACGCAGACCTGAGCATCTGACCAGGGCTGTGGCCTCAGGGACCCTTCACCCACTTCTCACAGGCCCTGGGAAGTCCTTCCCCAGCCCCCACACCAGGGCACACCGGCCACCTCCCTCTAGAAATTTCTTCATCTCACAGAGTTGGTCTTGGGGGCCCTGGACTGTGGGCTATGGGCCCAACAGCGCCCGGGGGGTGGGGCCGGCCTGCTCTCCACCTGCACCCCCCTCACCTGCAGTTGGTCCAGGGCGGCGTGCAGGTCGTCGGCCCCTTCCGGCCCCTTCGAGAGGGCCTCCTCTAGGCTGTGGGTGGCCTCAGCCCAGAGTCCCAGCCGGCACTGTGCCGCCCCCACGTTGAAGAGCACCTGGGAGCGAGGTGGGAGATGACAGCCTACTACTCCCTCACTTGTCTCCTCTCCTCTGGCCTCATCCCTGGTCCCACCCCCAGAGCAGCCCTTCAGGCCTCAACCTCCCCCTCTGCTCCCCACCCCTCCCCTGCCTCTTATCCGGATTCCACCCCAGGCCCGCACCATGTCCCTCTCCTGGCCCCGCCTCCAGTCCCGCCCCTGGCACCTCTCCTGGCCCCGCCTCCAACCCCTCTCCTGGACCCACCGCCAGTCCCATCTCCCGGCCCCGCCTCCAGTTCCGCCCCCGGCCCGCATCCTGGCCTCACCTCCAGTCCCTTCTCTGACCCCCCTCCTGGCTCCACCCCTGGCACCTCTCCTGGCCCCGCCTCCAACCCTTCTCCTGGACCCACCGCCAGTCCCATCTCCTGGCCCCGCCTCCAGTCCCGCCCCTGGCACCTCTCCTGGCCCCGCCTCCAACCCCTCTCCTGGCCCCGCCTCCAGCTCCGCCCCCGGCCCGCATCCTGGCCCCACCTCCAGTCCCTTCTCTGACCCCCCTCCTGGCTCCACCCCCAGGCCCTCTCCTAGCCCCGCCTCTGACGCCTCTCCTGGCCCCGCCTCCAGCCCCACCCCTGACGCCTCTCCTGGCCCCGCCCCCGCCCCGCCCCTGGCCCCGCCGCGCCTCAGGCACAGCGTCCGAGCGCTCTTCTGGGTGCCCAGCCTGAAGCGGAGCCTGCCTGGCTCAGTGGCTCTGCCGGGCAGGCCTCACTCTCCACACGCCCCAGCTGCAGCGGTTCATCGCTCTGGCGCTTCTCTGCTCCGAACATCGGGGCAGATCGCCGAGCTCGGGGAGCATCCTCTCCGCCTGCCTCACCCCCATTCTGCATCTGGCCTGACCCCTTTTGCGGCCCCTTCGACTGTGTGCCGCCCTGCCCAGTGCCCTGCTCTGGGGTGCTGTCCAAGGAGCCCCTTCCTCTGTCCTGTCCCCTTCCTCACGCCCACCCCCGCGTGAAAAGACGTTGGACGGACAGGTTGGGTCGGGTGAAGGCTGTCGCCAGCGGGACGTGCTGAGGGCAGAAGCGAAGTTGCCCCGTGCTCCTGGGAGCCGACGCTGCCCGCTGACCCCTCGGCTGCTGCAGGGGCAGCAAGTGCTTGCCCAGCTCGGCCCTATGTCAAGAGAAACCAACCCGTTCTTCCCGCGGCCCTCCGTCCCCATGGCCTGCCAGGTGACCCCACACTCCCAGAGCCAGCTGGCCACCCTCTGGAGATGCTGCTACACAGCTGGCTGGGGGTCACTGCCAGGCCGACGCCCCATGCCCCACCCTGCACTGTTGGGTGCCCTGGGCCAGGGGAGGCTGTGGAGCCCACCCAGCCAGGGGACCCACCCAGGCTGTGCACTTTCCCACGATTTGTTGATTGCAACACAGGCTGCTTGGAGAAGGCTCCAGGCAGCATGTTTCCGGGAGTGCTGGGGGTGTCCTCTCGATTCCCCTCCCTTGGTGTCAGCCACACGGAGAGCCTAGGGTGGGGGCTCACAGCCAAGCTGTATTCCTTCTGACCTCACCTGCCTCTCTCTGCTGACTCTGACCCTCCCCTGCCTTTCTCCTGGTGGCCTCCCACCTCTTCTGCCCCTAAGATTCCTTGGGGTGAAAGTGTGGTCAGTAGGGGTAGCGGGGTGTCTCAGGCCTGAGGGAGCATATCAGTCAACATGACCCCACCTGTGACAGTAACAAGACAGTGGGCCCCAGAGGACGGGGCCTGAAGGGGCTCCCGGGCCATCCACCCACAGACAGCACCCCCAGGGCCCCCAGCTGGCCCCACCTCTTGAAGACCAGCTCCCCGTAAAAGTCTGGGCAAGCTCACCTCCCAGGCCTTCAGCTTGAACCGCAGGCCCAGCTGCGTGTAGTCAATGGTGGCATTATCCCTTAGCTGTGCCAGGGCCAGCCGGAAGTCGGACAGGGCCTCCTGGAACCTGTGGGCAGTTGGGGGTTGGGGGGGTGTTCTCAGTGGCTGTAGGGAAAGGGGCCAAGCCCTGCCCCAGCCTTCCCCCGCCCCCATCTCCAGGGACACCTGCTAGGGAGCAGTGGTGGCCACCCAGGTCCTAGCACATGGTAGGCACTCAAGTCCCAACCAATGGGTCAAGGGATCGACATACAGACGTGGCTGTGGGAGGTAGAGGGGGCACCATGCCTGGGGTGTGAGGTGATGTCAGCTCTCATACAGCTCTGACTTCTGGAAATCTCACTCCCCTGCCTGGGGCCCCTGTCTGCACCCCAGGCCCTCTTCCAGCCCTGGCTGTGTAGAGTGCCCTGAGCATTTCCCTCCTGCTTCTCAGGACCCCCATTCCCTGCGGGCCTCCCTCTGCAGGGACCTGCCGGAAGCTCCTGAGCCTCCACTGGAATCCCTATCTCCCCCAGGCAGTCTCCTGGACCCATGTGAGGAGGAGGTTGCCCCCAGAGTCTGCCTGCTTGGCATGGGGCCATCTGCGGGGCTTGTCCTGGGGGCTAGGTGAGATAGGGGGAAGATGAGCTTGTCCTGCAGAATGTTTCCTTCTCTGGGAAGGACCACAGTGCAAAGAGCCCAGGTGAGCATTGAGGACCCCAACCACTTCTGTGTCCCGGGACACACCATTACTGCAGCCCTACTCTCGGTTTCCACATCTGCAGAATGCGTATAATCACACCATCCCTGCTACGGCAAAAATGTGCTGAGGAACAAAGGAGGGGATGCCCATGAAAGCACTCTGTGAACCTCGGCATAGAGAGAAGTCTCCCCATGTAGCTCTGCCCTGTGTCCCGCTCCAGCATGAGCACAGTATCTTCTCCAGGCTTCCCTGGGGCTGTAGAGGAGGGGGTTGGCAAGAGGAGGTGACCCATGGGGAGAGAGGGGGAGGGGGGAGCATAAGAATGGACTTTTCAGAGAAAAGGAGCCATCAGAGGAGAAACAAAGCATCCCTGTGCTCACCTCTCCAGCTGGAAGTTGGCCACTCCTCGCTGGAAGAAGCCAACAGCCATGCAGGTGTCCTTGGTCACTGCTTGGTCAAATGCCTGGGGACAGAAATGCCCACGGATCGCCAAGGTCTGCAATTCTATCACCCCTGTGTCACACAGTCCAGGCAGATGACCAGTGGCAGGGGGCCAAGGAATTCCATTGGACCCCAGGACAGCCACCTGCAGATAGAAGTTTCCTGCACCAGTCGGGGCCTCCAGAGCTCATGTCTGTGCACCTGCATCACCATTCAGTTTTCCTTGGTGCCACAACCAGAATCAGCCTGAGCTCCCGAAATGCAAAGAGCACAGCGAGGTGTTGTCATAAACCAATTGTCTGCCATGAGGACAAGGGGAAACAACAGAAGGGAACACTCCAGCGCATTAATAATAGTTACCTCTGGGGCATGGAATTATACAAGATTTTTGTCTTTTTAAAATCCTATTTGTGATAGTTCATACAAAATGATACTCCTTATCTATTAGAATCAGAAAGACGGGCGCCTGGGTGGCTGAGTTGGTTAAGCATCTGCCTTCGGCTCAGGTCATGATCCCGGCGTCCTGGGATCGAGTCCCACATCAGGCTCCCTGCTCAGTGGGGAGTCTGCTTCTCCCTCTTCCTCTGTCTCATCACCCCTGCTCGTGCTCTCTCTCTCAAATAAATAAATAAAATCTTTTAAAAAGTACTAGAAAGAACAAGAACACAAAAGTCTTAGTATGTATGTAAAGTACAGCTCTTCCCTAAACTTCACTCAAACGAGGTTGACTATTCCTAACCAGAACAGTAGTCATCAGTTAAACACGGGTAATAGGAGGGGCATCATGGTCTTACAAATCTGGCCAAATGGGGGGCTTACTGCAGAACTGGGATTGACCTAAGGTTGAAGGTACACACAGAGACATTGATGGGGGGGCACTCAGTGCCAGAGAAATCCATTTGTTTGCTACCCTGCCACACAGAGCAGCCAAGTCAAGGTCACATAGGGTTCCTATCAACAGACTGCTTTCCTACCTACACCCCTCCTCACCCTGCCCTGCTCCTCAGAGACAGTTTTAATAATTATAGCCATTCCATCTGCTTTAAAAAATCTCCATATTTCCAACTAATGTGCCCATCTATTATTACTTAATTTTATTGACTTTGGACAGTCCTCCCTCTTCTCTTGGGGTAAAGAATTTAATACCATATTCTCCTGCTCACCACCTCTGTCCCTTCTCTAGTTAACTCACAGTTTATGAATAAGTGATAAATGGATTGGCCTTATATCTACTATTGATTGAGCTACCTAGTGTCTGGTGATTATATTCCCTTTCTTGGATAACACTTTAAAACTGAAATTGTTACTAAGAATTGTAGGTTCATATGCAGATGCAAGAAATGACAGAGGAGATCCCTCGTACCCTTTGCCCAGTCTCCCCCCCAACTCCCGTGGTGAAGTTTTACAAGATATCGACATTGATGCTCTCCTACATCTAATTCTCTTTTCATTTGTGTCATTTTCCAGGTAGCTGCCACCGATTGTCTCAAAAACTGCAGGATCCTGGTTCTTTCTGTTGGCGATTTGGGGACCAGAGAATGAGTAGGGTGCTGCTGGATTTTTGTATGCACCTGGGGAACATGCATCACTTTAAAGAACACAAAGTGTTTAAAGGGCAGAGGGTGGTTCTGTGCTGCCCTCTCAGCAGCGGGCAGCCGGTGTGCCAGCCGGTGTGCACTCTTGAGCTCTTGGTTCTGTTTTGGGGAACAGACTGGGGAAAAGATGAGTACTTAGATCTGGGGTCTGGGTACCAACAAGACAGACCTCATCTCCTTCCCATCGCCACAGCTGTCTGATGAAGTCCCCGCTCTAAACTCTACACCTTGGGGGACAGGCAAGCCCCTCGCAAGCAGGATCCAGCGTCCAGCCTATTTCTAGGTATTACCACGACGAGCACCTGAGCCTGCAGGACCCCAGGCCTTCCCTGTGACCACAGAGTCTGGCGCATGGTCATCACCTCGAGGAGACGGCGAGGGAGGCCGCCCCCATCACGCCCTGACTGAGTCCAGCGTGGGGTCCCTCGACCACACGGCTCCCCCCTGCCTTCGGTGTTCACTGAGGCAGAACGCTGCGGGGACATCCCCAGATGACCATCCGGAAGAAGGACGGGGACCCCGGGCTCACCCCTGCAGCTGGGTCTTTATCGCACGGTGAGATTCCCCAGGGTCGGAGAACAGCCTTCCCAAGGGGTGGGGGCTCTGCCACCAACCCTGGTGCCTGGCTGTCGCGCGCCGGCTCACCCGCAGCGCGGCCTCCGGGTCCCCGGCCAGCAGGTGCACGCAGCCCACGTTGAAGCACGTCCTGGCGGGCGGCTCGGGGTCGCCCGAGAAGAGGCGGAGGGCGCAGCCCCAGTCCCCGCGCGCCACAGCCTGCACGCCCCGCTGCCAGTCGCGCACCAGGTCTCCTAGAGAGGGCATGGCGGCGTGGACACCCGCCAGACGGCGGCGGGCGCCCGGCTTCCGGGCGGGAGCGCGGCGGGCGAGGCCGCGGCGGTGGGGGTCCCGTGGGGGACCCGGCGGGGCGACGGGGGGCCGAGGGCCGCGGAGCAGGAGCTTCAGGACGTGGGGGCCCCCCTAGAGGCCGGCAGGGGGTCCAGACCGAGGGGGCGCTTGGCCCTCGGAGCGCGCGCAGCCCGCGAGCCGCAGGTGCGCCACGCCTCCTGCCGCCCACGGCGCCCCTGGCGGCCGAGCGTCGCCGCCCCCCCAGCGGGCCCCTCCGCCCGCAGGCCCCGCCCCCAGGGACCGCCCCTCTAATCCGGCCCCGCCCCTTCCCCGCTTCGGCCGCGCCCCTCCGGGCTTCCGCCGGGAGCTCCCGGCGCTCGCGTTTCCCGCCTCGCGCGCCCCGGGCCGTGTGGGTCTCGGTGCGCCGGGGAAAGCCGTCGGGCCGCCGCGGCCGCGGCCGGGCCAGGGTTCCGGGCGGACCCCGCTGGCTCAGGTGAGCGACCGCTGGGGCGCGGGCCGAGGTGGGCCGGGCTTGGGGTCCCCGGGACGCCAGGGGGTAGGGCGGAGCCGGGCCGGGCTGTGGCCGAGCTGGCGCCCCGGCCGCGCCAGCCCGGCTCTGCTGGGACGGGCGAGCCGCGGGAGCTCGTCCTGGGGTCCCACCCAGCGGTGGGGGAACTCTTTGAGGCAGTTTTGCTGCAAAGGGGAGTAAAGCGATAGGGGGGTGTGACCTTGCGGAGGGGGTTAAGATGGAAAGGCTCACAGTATGTTGATGGGCTGGCCCTAGCGAGGGGAAATGATGATGGGGTGGGAGAGGGGACAGTCTCAGGGAGGGGGCAGATCTGTGGGTGCAGACACTGGGGAGGGGGGGTCCCTTCCAGCTGCTTCCACTTGCTCTGGAAGCAGGTAGCCAGGTCCTGGACTGGGAGGCAGGACAGGGCAGAGTGGGGCTGAGGACAGAGGAGGAGGAAGTCCACCATAGGAGCGAGGGAGTGCACCCACCCGGGGCTCGTGTTCAGGATGGAAAGAGACTGGGCACTTCGGCCGGGCTCCTCCAACCCAGATGAAGGGAACAGGACTGGAGGTGAGAGTGGTGAGGGGGTGTCAGGTCGAAGGTTTGAGCTGCAAGGATGGGGTAGGGTGTGGGGGGCCGCAGCTGTCGACACTGAGGAGCCCTAGGTGGGACCTAGGTGGGCTGGTGGGAGAGGCACTGAGGCGGTGGCCCCAGGGGCTGTGAAGGGCAGAGCACAGATGCAGGAATGACCCCGAGCAAACGTTGTAGGGAAGGTAGGGAGGATGGGGAGTGGGAGGGATGTCCACATGGGGGGATTCAGGAAGGACAGGATCCCGCCGTGGGTACCCACCCACCTCCAGGCCAGTAGATCAGGAAACCCAGACCCCACTGGTGAGGAAGCAGGTCCTCAGGGGCAGAGGCTCACGGACATTTACTGAGGAAGCTGCCCAGGTGCCCTCCCAGGCATGCCACAGGCGTGGGTCCTCACAGGTCCGCCAGGCCAGGACTCAGCACTCCTGTTCCTCAGGTAAGGAAGCCTGCAGGGTCAGAGAGCTGGCCCAGGTCACACAGGGAGGAGACAGAAGCCATAAGTGAGCAGAGTGGCTCCCAGGTCCCAGGACCCACAGGCCCAACAGGGGAAGGAGGATGGCCGACATGGAAGGCAAGCCAAGTCGCGAGTCACAGCTGAGCTCGGGCTCTGAGAGCCATCGAGGATACAAGCCTCCCCTGGGTGTTCTCTTAGGTAAACAGAGGAGCAGAGCCTGTCTACGGGAGCGTTTCTGGGGCTGCGTGCTGTGATGGTTCATTTTACGGGTGCCCACAGAGTCGGTCAAATAGTCACAGGTTGCTGGGAAAGTATTATTTATTGATTTATGGGGGGGCAAGAGCATGGGGGGAGGGGAGGAACAGAGGGGCAGAGGGAGAGGAAGGGGGACCCCTGCTGAGCACGGATCCCGAGGTGGGACTCCCTCCCGCGACCCTGAGATCACGACCTGAGCGGGAACCAAGAGCTGGAGGCTTGACCGACTGAGCCCCCCAGGCGCCGGGTGGGTATTTTTATGAGATCAACATTTGCAGCAGTAGACTCGTCTGAGGCAGATGACCCTTCCTAACATGGGAACGGGACTGGAGGTGTGGGTGGTGAGGGGGTGTTGGAGGCCTGTCAGTCGAAGGGGAGGGGAACGTGCCCCCAGACTCAAGCGGAGGCAGCCAGAGCTCTTCCCCGGGTCTCGTCCTGTCGGACCAGCCTGCAGATTCCGGATTTGCCCGCCCCCACAACTGCTCACAGTCTCTCCCTCTCTGTGCACCTGTTGGTTCTGTTTCTCCGGAGAACCCTGACTAACACGAGTGCTAAGAGCGTGACAGCAAGTAAGACATACACGGGGTGTCAGTAGGGACATGGGCTGAGAAGGCAGAGGCCCCTGCAGCGACTCGGGACTTCCAGGAGGGGCTCCTGGCACGGGGGGGGGGGGGGGGGGGGCGGCGCCACCTGGGGCTCTAGGGGCCTCTACTTTCTCGGTGAAGGAGGTCCTCAGGGTCACCGAGGTGGGTGGGGCACAGGGCGGGGCCTACTTGCCACAGGGGCGGGCCGGGGGCCGGGTTAGTCCCGCTCGCCGTGCCCCCACGGGGGGGCCCACAGCGGGACGGTTGACAAGGACAAGGGACGGACGGTCCCCACGAGTGTCACCAGCACCTGCCCACGTCCCGCCGTCCCGCGGGTGGGGCTCGGGACCCCCCCACTGCTGGGCCTCTGCTAGCCCCGCGGACACACTGAGAACACCCCCTCACCACTCTCACCTCCAGTCCTGTTCCCTTCATCTGGGTTGGAGGAGCCCGGCCGAAGTGCCCAGCCTCTTTCCATCCTGAACACGAGCCCCGGGTGGGTGCACTCCCTCGCTCCTATGGTGGACTTCCTCCTCCTCTGTCCTCAGCCCCACTCTGCCCTGTCCTGCTTCCCAGTCCAGGACCTGGCTACCTGCTTCCAGAGCAAATGGAAGCAGCTGGAAGGGACCCCCCCTCCCCAGTGTCTGCACCCACAGATCTGCCCCCTCCCTGAGACTGTCCCCTCTCCCACCCCATCATCATTTCCCCTCGCTAGGGCCAGCCCATCAACATACTGTGAGCCTTTCCATCTTAACCCCCTCCCCAAGGTCACACCCCCCTATTGCTTTACTCCCCTTTGCAGCAAAACTGCCTCAAAGAGTTCTCAGTGTGTCCAGTACTTTTGCTGTGTACTTTTCAGAAATTGAGATGTAATTCATGTATCAGCAAGTTCACTTTTAAAGTGTGCAGATCACTGTTTTTGTCCTGTTCACAGTATTGTACAACCATCCCCGATAATTCTAGAGCACTTCATCGCCGTTGCTCTCATGCCCCATCACCCCTGTCCCAGCCCCTGCCAACCACTGATCCCCGTCTCTACAGATTTGCCTCTTCTGGACATTCCATATAAATGGAACCACACAGCATGTGCACTTTGTGTCTGGCTTCTCTCACTCAGCATCAGTTTTTTGAGGTTCATTCCTGTTGTAGCCTGTATCAGAGTTTTGAGACTGAGTAACATTCCATTGTATGGATGGACCCTGTTTTGTTCATCCATTCCTCCACTCATGGGCATTTGGGCAGTTCCCACTTTTTGACTATCACGAGAAATGCTTCTGTGAACATTTGTTACAAGTTCTGTGTGGACGTGTTTTCGGTTCTCTTGCGTACACACCTAGGAGCGGAGTCGCTGGCTCATGGGGTCACTCCATTGAACTTTGTTCCAGGTGGCTGTCCTGTTCCACATTTCCGTCATGCTGCTTGCTCCTGAACCGGCTCTAGGTGGCCTTCCTGCCATCACTTTACCCAGAGGCTTGTCGGGGTCACCAGCAACCTCCTCCTCCTGAGCCAGGGGGCCCTGGGCATGGCCCATCCTCCCCACTTAGCGCCTGACCTCCAGGTCATGGCCTCCCCCGGGTCCCCTCTGCCCCCTGGCTGCCCTCCTGCCTCCCCTGGGCTCCCGTTGTTTATTACCGCTGGGGCGTCTGCAGCGTCTGCTCTCATACCAACTTTTTGATTTCCATAATAGCAAGGTAAAAGCAGCCCCATCCCGGTCACTGTATACTATGTGTACTGCGGCTGTCTTAGTCATAGCCCCAAACTAGACACCCCCAGAAGTCCTGCGGTAGTGGAATGGGTACGCAGGCTGCGCCCGCCCGTGGAACAGGCTGCGGAACAGGGGATGCAGCAGCTTGCGGGTCTCAGGGAGCATGCCGAGTGAGAAAAGGTCGCACGCTTTGATTCCATCTATGTAATTTTCTTAAATGAAAATTATATAAATGGAGAGCAGATTAGCGGTGTTTGGGGCCACTAACAGATTAGGCTCTAAAAGGACAACACCGAAGGGTCCTGTGGGGCGGACTGTCCTGGGTCTTGACTGAATCCGTGTCAGGCCCTGGTTGTGATGCTGACTACGGTCACGTCTGGAGGACTGGATATAGCATATAGGGGTAGCTGTTTCTCTCCGAATGCATGTGCATCTCCAGTTATCTCAGATGTTTAAAACAATTTTTAAAGAAGGTTTCAATTACAGGTTTTTCTGTTTTACAGATACCCTGAAGGTTGAAATGATTAATGAGCCTAAGATTCGTCCAGCTCTGAAATTCAACTGCTTAAATGTTAACGTAGAAAACTTCTTTCTGTCTGAGCTAAAACCTATTCCCAAGCAGGTGTTGAGGCATCTGGAGTGGCCGATCTGAAGCTGGCCTTCTCAGACGGGTGGCCTGCTGTCCTGAGGGAGGCCTCCCAGGCTCCTGCCGTGGTCACCCTCCTCCACGTCAGTGTTCCGGGGAGGCCCGCTAAGACTGTGTGGATCACACGGTTCCTACATCGGTGGAAGAGTCCAGAAAAGGGAACCATTTCCTAAGGTAAGAATGTGACTCAGATAGCAGTCAGCATAGTGCTGGAACTTATTTTTAAAGGAATGCGATAATCATGGTTAATTCTGGAGCACAGGTGTCAAAGAAATGGGCAGGAATTGGGTTTAGCCCAATACAAAGAAGTTGGGTTTTTTTTCCCCCTTTCTAAACAACGGGAACTTTCCAAGA